CTTAAAACAAAAATTCGACTTATAGAATACAATTTTCCATATTCCTATTGGCATGTGACAATATTTTTATTCAAGTTATAGAAGTTCGAGTCATGGCAGATTTGCATGTAATTTGACCTCTAAAATCTTGGTGCACTCTTTTTAGTTCGAGTTATAGAAAATTCGAGTTATAGAAGTTCGAATTATGGAAGTTTGACTGTATATTAGTTCTAGTGATTAAATTCATTTCAGTTTCAGTTTAGTATTTTTATATTTTTTAGTATTTAGTAAATATACTAACTTTATTATTTTCAATTTTTCCGAATATTTGTTTGGCATAATAAATTTAAAGTCATTCATATAATAATAATAACAATAATAAATTACTAATGTGCTATCTTTATTAATAATATAAACAAATAGGGAAAAAGATTAAAGCCGGATATATTAAAATAATAAATCTAATTATTAAATAATAATTAAGTATATTATAACTTGAATGCGTAACAGAACTTTTGTACAATCATTTCTATTAATCTACTCCTGTGATCATACTTCGTAGATAAAAGTTAAGATTTCACTTTCTTCAGGAGTATTTAAATTCTTGATAGGCGCAGATAAGAAGTAAAAAAAGGATGATTTGTGCAACCAGTACTCAAAACATAGCTAGAAAAGGACCAAGATTGTTTATGCTCTTGATCTTCTTCATCTTAATCTAAAAATATTTAAATTGTTATTAATATTTCCATACTCCATTAGGAGCTTAAGGAGTCTATAAAAGTTTTCCACTGGTTTCTATTTTGTGCTATTGCTCTCAACTTGTTAAACGATTTGCCCATCTCCTACTGAACTATCCTTCTCCATGTCATTACTGGTCTGCCTCTGCTCCAAGACCCCTGGGGGTTTCAAGTAATTGCAGCATGCGCGATATCTTTATAAGGCTTACGCAGTGTATGTCCAATTCAATCATACTTCCTTTTTCTTATCTCATTGTTTACCTTTGTTTGGTGCGTTATACTCCATAGTTCTTCATTTGAAATTGTTCTAGGCCATCATATGCCTAATATGTTGCGCAGGCATCAATTGATAAATGATTGCAATCTTCTTTCGATTTCAAGTCAGGTTTCCAACCCATATAGGCATACCGATTTGACGCATGCCTTAAAAAATTTTACCTTCTTCTTACCTTGGGAATATTAAAAATAATATTTTTAATATTATTATTTTATTAATATATTATTATTTATATTATATTATTTATATACATATATATATATATATTATAATTTATATATAATACAATATTTTTAATATAAAAATAATTTATTATTTGCTTATAATGCTTAAACTGTATTAAATATAAAGTGTCTTAGTAAATTTAGAGCGCTTCAATATTTGCGTTGCTAACTCATGCTCAGTAAATATTATTAGCCGAATTTCGTAAGTTTTCATCTAATCGACACATCTCTGTTTAGCTAGAAATATCACATATTGTTGTTAAATAATCGTGTAATAAACGAAGCTTTATCATCCAGAAGTAGAGTGCCGTCATATTTGCATTTTTAACAAAAATCGAGTTAACTTCTTTTTGTGTCAAGGTCTTGAATTAAATTCTTTCAATTAATTTTGACTCAGTTATTAAATTCTTTAATATTGTTGATTACTTTCATTAGCAATTAAAATGAATTTATTTTTATTTTTTATTGAACTGAACTATTTCTCATCATAAATATTTGGAACCGTTCTGTACTGTTTTTGTCATATATTGTTGTGGGTTTTCTTCTCGTTTTTGGAGGTAATTTCAGAAATCAAAACAAATATTATGCATACATAAAAAATATTTAAATAAACATTTTTTACTATTTTTGAGTTCTGGAATTTATCTTAAGCTGCATGACAGTGATATGAATCTATGGTTTCATTAAATAAGTATGATTAAAATAATAAGTACCGTCGTTCAAATATTGCAACCCATCCGTAGTATATATTAAGTTAGGGTGCCATTAAGGTATATGACAATTTATTTCCCGAAAAATCGGTTGACGGCACCCTCCAGATCGGTTCATTTTACTGAAAAAATAATCTGTGTAAAATTTTAGTTCAATTAGTTCAAAAGTGGAAATGGCCCCCAAGAGCTCCAAAGTTTGTAAAATAACCATTTTATTGCTAGGTTTGTAAGTGCTATGAATGTAATTTAATTTAATATTTCTTCTAATATTATTTCTTCTAAAAAAGGTACTAATTCTAGAAGGTACTAATACTAATTCGTTCATTTTTGGCCAAAACTCTTATAATCGTTAAAATAGTTAAACATATGGGCTTTCAGACTTCCAAATCTTGGCATGAAAAACACTTTTGAGAATAATTTCGTAAATGTGATGTCTGCAAGCTAACATAAATATGAAAGATCTTTTTCTAAGCGTTTTGCAATAATTGAGCACGCTCCGTTAAAACGATCAGTGTTTACTGCTGTCGTGTCAAAAACTAAAGCTTGCACGTGTTGATTATCTGTGAAATAAAATTACTGTACTGAAAGAACCTAGATAGTATCGGATAATGTAAATAGGAAGACGTGAACGAGATATGGGGAATTTTAATCTAGACCGTATTAAGGTTGAAGAACCTTGTCATTCTTTATTGAATGATTGTTCATTCAATAATATTCATTGATGAATATTATTTAGATCATAATAACTGACATTGTGACGTCATGTTGACCATGTGACGTTTTTTCTGAAAGGTAGTAGGCAAAGTCAAGATGAGGGAAAAATTGATATTAAGATATGAACTTTCTACAGGGATACTGCATCAGAGTGTATAATTAAAAGTCCTCTTCAGTTAATGTTATATATGGTGCCGCCATAATAATAGCTTTCTTGTATATGTATTCCACACATAACGAATGGATCAGATCCAGGGACTTTATTGTTAGATTTCACTTATTCTTAGTGCAAAAAGGGCAAAATTTTACTATAACTAAATTTTATTACATGTGATATTGTAGCAGGGAAGAATCCTCATTGGCAGCTATAGGTCATCAAATACTACGTATGTACTCAGTAGTGAGTGTTCTTAACATGTTTCTATGACATTTCAATTGCCTATATAAAGAAGTGATATTCTCCGTATATCATATGTAAGCATACTATCTATAATGACACTCAAGATGTCGTGTAAATAGCATTAAGATCGTAAAAGGGGGACATTTTTATCTTGAGTCAGGTCATTGAGTAAATACTTTGAGAGTCCGTCTTAAGTAAGCGATCAGGCTTTGCAGCAGCGCCCATATAGCTTCAGCTTTCCAATAACTTGGAGAGCAGCGATAGTTACCAACTAAACATTACTGCTTTATATAGTACATTAGATAACGAGTTGCGATCGATTGAAATTGTCCAGAATTTATCATTATTGAAATCACAGTTATTTAAGCGTTCCATAAATTTTACACTGTGATTGTTTAGTTTCTTTATGCGGTATGAGATATGATTATTTTACGAAGATCATTACCCTTTTCAACCGGAGGCATAGCGCTGGTCATATAATTTAGACTTAGGATCTTTATTCTTATTGTAGAAACTGCTATTATAGCTGAACGCATAACAATGTTCCAAAGAATTATTTCTACTATGTTCACATTAGAATATAGCGTACAAATATCGAATTCTCTTTTGGTGTGTGCTGAGAAGGATTCATTCTTGCTTCAACATATTATCTAGCATATCTTTAAATTGTTACCACAGGTTATGGTCATAGCGCTGGTTGTAAAGAAGAGAAGGCTATTGAAAAATAACTTTAAAAAGCAATTCTGTAGACTTCTGTAAAGTACGATGGGTGCATGTTGCAGAATGCTGGGTTCAAAGGGACATACGTTACTGGACCAATTTTTGTAAATTCAATCCTGTGTCTTTATTTTAAATTTTCATTGCGTTATACGTATATGACCTTGTTTTATAATGAAGGTACGCATTATACGTTACTAAATTAAGAAAGTATTAAAAAAAATATTTTTTCTTATTACTCTTGACCTATTATATTGTTTTGTTAGCGTGTCACGTTGTAAACATTAAGAGTTTTCATAAATTGTAATAACGAAGTAAGGTCTTAAAAGAAATTATCTCTATTTGCATATGTTGAGTATGTTTAAAGGAATAGTTTGAGTATGCTGAGAGGGGGTTTCGTAAGATATTTTAAAATCCCTTTATATTCAAATCATTATGAAAATAAATCAATTTGAGTGAATGGTTTTAACGTCGTTTTAATGGTGAGTGACTAATAAAATAAATTTTTATGTGCCCAAAATTGAGTGACATTTGAGTAGTTATTGTCATAAAAGTTACCAACTGCCATTAACAGATAAAAAACCGTATTAACTTTATCTAACAGATAGCAGAGTATTACTAAAATAGTATCTTAACCATTATGAAATACTGAGTTTAGCAAAATTGTTGTTAATTTTTTTTGAAATACACAAAACAATATGGCAACTATGGCGAAAACTTTGCCCATATAATTTCAATAGTTTGAAATTACAATAAATTATTTCGATTTCATTTTTCTATTTTTTTTTCGGTTGAAATAACTATTGTATCTCGTTAATTATGTGTTTCTAGCGCACAATAATAGCTACAAAACACTTCAAAATAGACAAAATTAAAATATAAAATGAAAAAATTGATTACGCATTGTAAATATACGAAAAAAAAAAAAAATGGAAAACATTTTTATATCATGAATATTAAGAAAAATCTATACTATTAGAAGGAAAATTTTGGGGAAAAACAATAATAATAAATTTGTCATTTTCATTTTGTAATAACATTTTTTTTTTCTATTTTGACTATTTTGCAAAAGGACCCTGCCCTCGTGGCACATTCGCCTGTGACAATGGTAAATTGTGCGTGCCACAACGTCAAATTTGTGATAATCGCTTGGATTGTAAGGACCAAAGCGATGAGCATCCTGTGGAGTGTGGTTTGCTTTATGGCAGTACGGAATTGACCAATAAAATTGTAGGCATACAAATGGAGAAACACAAGCAACAATTGAAAGGAACTGCTGGGAAAAGCAGCAACAACTCCAACACCACCAACAACATCAACAACAGTAACAACATCAACTACAACGGATCTAGAGTTGGAGTTGTAGGCACGTCAACAGCAAATGGAACTATTACGCCAAGCAGCAATGGTGGTATCACTGATACAAATAATAGTTATAGCAAAAGCCAAAGTGGCAGTAGTGCAAATAAAACGCAACCAGATTGTGGTAAGTTAAATACCAAAAGTAATTGGATTTAAAATATTAATTTTATAAAGAAATTTGATATTTGATATTTAAGCCAACACCTAAGGAAGTCATTTAAGTACCACAAAAATTGTTGAAAAGGACAATGATATTAAGTTTGTCAGAGACTTTCTGTTAAACGTTTTAAAATAATTGCTAAGCTTAGTGAACATAAGCAATAAAAGTTTATATAGTCTTTGGAATTTTTAATATCCAATAAGAAAGAAAAATACAAAATTATTAGAATAAAAATAAAATTTAATAGAACAAAACTTAATAAGATATAGTACAGAATAAGAAATTAGAATTAGAAATGTATATTTTTCTAAAGTTAGTGTTAAAAAATGAGAGAGCTCGTGACAAATATCGAAATAGAGTATGTTCATTTTAAGTCTATAAAGATTCTTCAGATAATGTCAATAACCATTAATTATCTCTTTAATACTTCAAGATTTGATATAGATAGGAAAACTATATTTCTCAATATACTTCGTTAAAGATAAAACAAAATCCGTTCTAACTAGTTTTATCGATATTTTTGGATTCGATTCCTCAGTACCTGTAGCTACCTATTAAATTGGTGAATAATAGGATCATAATAGGATCTTTTATATTAAGATCTAAACCATTTAGACACTAACTGTGTAATTGCATCAAAACAATGTGTATGTTTGTATAAAGTTAATTTATTAGATCAATTAAACAGTTCGACATTGCTCTCAAACTGCAACTATATATGTAGAAACCATAATAGTGTCGTAGACAGAATTGTGCTCGAAAGGTATACTAGAAAATGTTTTTTTTTGCAGTGTATTAACTGCAGATTATATTGCCAATGGAATGCTTGCTCTATCTCTTAATCTCATATCCTTGATACGTCACGAAGCAATTATATAGTTTTTTGACTTTTGACAATGTAGATTGTTATATTATATTAAAAAAGCATTCAGTTTTTATTGAATTGCTATGACTGCTATTTTAAGCAGTCATAAGTCTTGTATGAGTTGTAATAACCAGACCCTTGTGACACCGAAAATAGGTTAGTAACACACAGTTAGTGTAAATTTTTTTTTATAGAGTTTAATAATATGAATACAAGTAAGAAGTGAGAAGAAACGGAATCCATTCTGGATCTATTTGAAGAACCTAGGTGCATTAGAAAATGACGAGATTATTTTCAATATGCAATTGATTAGTGGGGCTTAAGTCGTGCCTCTACTATTTTTGACAGTCTGACAACTATGATTCTAGTTAGATGCCATGCAATGAACAGTAAAAAGTCAAGTAAATATTATAATATAGGTCACTAATTTTATAATAAATTTTGACTCATATCTCAAATGTGACAGTATTATCTGAGTGTCAATTACTATTCACTATTGTGATTTTTTTTTACATCAATAGATAAATGCACGAAGATATTGGAAAAATCAAGGATTTTATTTCTCTTATAGTATCAGCAACATGTCTAGAATCTTTTTAGCAACATGTCTATTATGTGAACATGATTCAACATGTCTAGAAGCTTCTTAGCAACATGTATATTATGTGAACATGATTCACTGAATAGTTTTAAGTGTCGATTTCGGGAAGAATGGAATAAATTTTAAGAACATACTTTAGAGAGTTTCCACTAATGATTTTATTCTTTCTTCTAATTATTTGCAACTTAATTAAAACTATTCCTATGCTTAAGTTTTATAATTAAAAATAGAAATTATTATTATTCTAGTTTATTCTAGTAAAAGGTAGGATTTTTAGTTTCCATTCAAACTCTTTTCGATTTCATTACGAAAACTGCAAAGTACACCTTCTATACATTATTTTTATTACTCAAAACAATTTCTGCTTAGATTTCTTAAAAGAAATAGTAGAACATATTGTATTATTTACTTACATCTAATTTGAGTTATTTCTATCGCTTTACAGAAATCGTAACATATCCGAAACAGTGTACCTGTAGATCAAAAACAATACTTTATTGCGGTCAATATGCAAAAATCAACAGAATACCAAAGATAAGCGCAGAGGTAAGTGGAATCCAAAAGTTTTCCAAGTTTACTAATTTTAATCAAACCAAAATATATAAACAAAACTACCAACAACAATTAAGAGTTCAAAAATTTAAATTTATTTACACAGGTGACAAATTTAATGATCAACCGAAACAATTTAACTCTGCGTGAAAATGCATTTAGTAAACTTAAGCATTTACAAAGGCTGTAAGTATAAACAATACCTCTAAACGTTTACATTTAAGAACGTTTTTATATATACTAACCCTCGCTGATATACAATCAGGAGCGAAAATCACCGACATTAAAAACAGAATTAAATTTTCAGAGAAGTTAATTCCTTTCCACAATCTAAATCCGTTTCGCTATTCTATTCTCCTTTTAATTTCTTTCGTTTCATGTGGCGCCGGTTACAGTACCTTAAAGTACAACAGCATATCAGTACTACCTCAAGGAACATTTCGTGGGCTTCCACAACTGGAGCGCCTAGATGTGCGCTACAATAATTTTAGCAGTTTGTCGTTTGGTGTTTTTCACGGCCTAGTGTCGCTGCAATGGTTATTCCTAATATCAAATCGACTGGAGCATTTTCCATTGACACATTTGCTGGATATGCCAAGACTGGAATGGTTAATGCTGAGCGATAACTTACTCACATTGCGTAATGATAAATTTCCACGCATGAATCGCCTATACGAGCTGTAAGTATTGCACTGCTAATAAACTTAAATGAGCGTTGAAGGCAAATCGAAAGGGTTTTGTCGATGCCGGCAATGGGGTAGTGTGTGATTTGCGGACGGAAAAGTCAAACATATGTTTTGAGGCAACGTTTATTTTGTTGGGAAAGGCAGATTTGTGCGATTGATGCTGCCTTGCCTGGTAGCAGTAATAAAAGTAAATCGCTTCTGTAAAATGTTATTGACATTTTCCCTTTTTTCTCGTGTTTTAAATTTCATTTTCTTTCTTTGGGTTACGTTATGTCTTGGGTTAAAATATTTCTTAGTTTTTATTATTTTTTATTTTTTGTATTAGAGTGATTTTTATATGAGCGTAAAATTATTGATGCGTGAATTTTACTTAATTTGCGATGACATAAACAACCGAGTTTTCAGCCTATTTTAGCAGCAAGTTTAACAAAATCTTTAGGACAATATAAGTCAGAAGCATGAATGGGAAACCAGTGTGCAGTTCATTTGATAACATAAAATTATTGATCTATGTTTGATATATAGTAAAAGTATCACACTTTAGCAACACTAAATACTTTTTTAATAATTTAATTAACTCGATTTTTTTTAATGAAAACAGGCAAGATTTTTGTAAAATATCAAAGTAAATATCGTAGATCCTATAAAGTATATATATTCTTTATCAAGCTCGACGAGATTAGTTCATTTAGGCTTATTCGGCTGTCCGTTTTATCCTAAACTACTCATTTTTTCAGTCATTAAAATAAAACTTTACGTACATACTTTTCGAGATCCGTCGTCGGATTTGTCAGACAACAATTGAGAAATTGTTTTCTTGTTTTTAAGAAAAATATACAAATAAAGATTGGTACATAAGAGATTATATAGGATTTTATATAGCTTTATCGGTTCAGATTTCAATATAGCTGACATAGAAAATACCGAATTAGGCATACATTTTCTTTGGTATGTACTTTAAATATAGCTCTTAAATATTCAGATGATATTGGAACATGTATTTCTTAGAAAAACTTTTTTGTCACATATATATTATTATATAAAATAGATAAGATAATACTATTTATTATATATAAATGTAAAGTGTATCTATAGTAAGCTTCGGCAGAGCTAAAGCTAACATCTTTATGTTTTTTAAAATATGTAATAATATCAGTTTTAGAATCTTTTAATTGTTTTAAAGAAGTTTATATCCTTAAAAAATGAGTTTATATGAAACAGATTTTTATTGGTTTTGTGCAAATATATATTAATACTAGCTGACCCGGCGAACGTTGTTTCCTCTTGCAATTAGTTTTCCTGGCTCAGCTGAGTTATAATATTTGTTGTTATTCAACTTAACCTTTAGCATTTTAATGCGAAAATTATTTTAAATTGATTTTTTCTTTTGAACTACAAAAAGTCCACATGCATTACTTATGTTACAAATATTTTCATATTACTTCAAATCCTTATAAGCACTACATTTTAAATTAAAAAAAATATCATTGCAAAGCGTCGTAAGAGCGATGACTGTCTGCAATCGTATGCACTGTGTTATCTCTGCGTTGTATTCGTATATCTCGACGTTCAAATAATCGGTGCATTATATCGGCCCGCGTGCTGCCCAGATGGTACTTTGATGACGATTGTATAGTTGTCGTTTAGCAGTCTGTTTGAAACGGTAGTGAACAACTGGACCAACTGGTTGTGATTTTTTAAAAACGGTTCTAATATACCCACAATTTCTTGCTCCTCCATCTGCTCGATATGGTTGTACTGGCAACGTGCGTTTATTTGCTGCTCATCACCCATGAAGTAGATTTGCAGAAATTTGGAATCATTGTTCCAAATGATGTTATTTGAAAGCACGAATTGAATTTGCGAATTTTACGAAAAAACAATTTAGATTGAGATATAGCTCCAGCCAATAGTGCTTTCAATGGTTCTAGCGGCGAATTCAATGGTGGCAATACACTTTTCCAGATGCGCAGCAGAAACCGGCCGATTCACCTTTGTATTTGAGTGCATGACAGTGTTGGCACTGTTTGTTCATAGCACCGATTACAATTCGTGAATGTGACGAATAGTCGATATCCGACTCATATTCAAACGCAAGGCGATGAAATGATGCACGTGTCAATGCGCGATACACTTGCAAACGCTGTTTTTCACGTGTTCTGAATGTGTCGGTGACTCGTTGACGGGCCAGTCTTTGTATCAATGCATTAGCTGGAAGGCGTTCGTTGTGTTGCTCTTGACTTTCATTAGCACGTGTGATTGTATCCTGGTTTCTTACATTTTCATTGTTTTCTGCCGATCTATTTACCCGACGGTTCTGGAGTAATTGTGAATTCCGAGTCCGTCGACCAATATTTCCTCCTCGTCCACGAAGACGTGGCATTGTTTTTTGTACGTTATTTATATCTTTATATATATAATTCTTCTTTTTTGTGTGTGTTCAAGTCAATTCAAGGATGGTTTAGATTCACAATTTGGTCCACTGGATAACGTTTTTTTAATTATTATACAGTTTTTTGGTATCCATATATATATATATTAGACCTTTAAAAGTTATTCATGCTTACTTTGATTTGTTTAAACTCTAAAATGAATCGTTCAACTATCCTGTTGAATTTTTGATTTCGCTGGAGTTTCCAGGAATACCACTACATAACTTAAGATTAAAAATTGGCTCACCTATAATTATACTGCGGAATTAAAATGCACTTAAGCTATGCTACAGCAATTTTACGATTCATTTTAGAGATTTTAAACTTTTTAAACAAATCAAAGTAAGCATGGATAAATTTTAAATTTCTAATATAAATGTATATGGATACCAAAAAATAAAAAATTAATTAAAAAGACATTATCCAGTGGGCCAAATTGTGAATCTAAACCTTCCTTGAATCTACTTGAACACACACAAAAAATTTCATCAAAATCGGTTCAGCCGTTTAGGAGGAGTTCGCTGTCAACACACGTACAGAAGAATT